CAAGTAATAAGCTTGCACCTTCTTTTTGTCATCTATTTTAGCTCTCCTGTCTCAAAATATGGCTTCTTATTGACTATTGGTGTCAAATATGGCATCAGCCGTTTTCCAAAACCATCTTGTGTTTGTATGTTTTGCTCTTTTAGTTTCTTTTTTCCTGACTCTTCATATTTATATCCAGTGCACTCAAAAATGCCACCTAGATCAAGAACAGTGTTCCTGAACTAGTTAACTAGTATGATACTTTGTGTCAATGTGATGACTTCATTCCTAACCCCTGTATTGTTTGTGGTTCAGTTGACTTTTTTCCCCTTTATAATTGCTACAGTGATAAAATTCATGTATATTTACTCACATAGTTCTTGTTAACCTAATGCATGTTGGTAAATTGAATTCAAGTTCTTTTGGAAGGGCTGATAAGCTACTGGATGATTTGGTTATTGTAGTATGATTTGGATGAGCTGTGCCATGGTATGTACATGTTTTTATACTTTGCCAGTTTTTGTACAAGCACTTATTATTCGGAGCAAGCAGTTGTTCTGTAGGCTTGTTTATCTATCTTAGCTAGTTTTATATGTATTGTCGTCAAGTATGGCATAGACGTTGTCCGTAACCTTCTTGTGTTTATATATTCCTTTGCTTCTTGATCATATCCAGTGCACTCAAAAGCCATCACCTTTTCTTAAAGCACCCCCGTCTCCAGTTTTGTTAGACCTCATGATTAAYCTTTTCGCTGACACCAATGTTGGAGTTGAAGACTCTAATTGAACTTCTAGTCTTTGTCTAAGTGATTTTTTCGATCACTCTGTATCTACAGCTTGCRCATGGTGTTTATGGTTCTTTTTTTGTTTCRCTGCCTTTTAATTGCTTGCAGGAGAGGAATAATGGCGGGGATGTTTGTGTCTACAATCAATGTGTGTGCTTATGGTTATTGTTTCATTTCTTTTCCTTTTGATCATTGCAAGGAGATCAGCAGTGATTTAGATCAGTTGTTGTCCATGAACATTGCACCTCTGCAGTAATGCTAGTCCTTTTGTACTTGGGTTGAGATGCTTTAGGATTCAATATCTTCAATTATTGATTTCCATGGTTGGGGCCTTTGTTGGTCTGTGTTCAATCTCTTGACCTGTAATTTCAAGTCTCTGGAATTGGTTATTGGTCATATGCATCCATCGAACAACTCTCCTTATCTTATTGTCTTTTAGGTCCAGATTCCTTCAATTGGTTGAAAATTTTGCAAAAGTTAGGCCTTGGAGAAAATTGCGTATTTTTCAAATTTTCCACTTACCTAGCAAAAGACAGATAAAAAAATAAAAATGGGAACTCTAAATTTGATATTAGTCATTTACTCTAAAATTGATTAGTTATAATGTTAATTGGTTTGTTTTAAGTTTTTACATTGAGTAATTAAGTTTTGATTCTTGACCTGTATTATTTCCCTATATTTAATCTGATGTTAAATTTTCTTAGCTTATTTCTAATTTTCGCAACTTTAGTTGTTATCTTGTTCATGCTAATTAGTTTAATCAACGAGAGTCAAATCCTTAAGTAGTAGAGACATTTTACTAAATCAACCCAAAAAAACGAATAGATCTCTCGAAGTCAACCAAAAAATCGAAAAATTCTTTCAAATTCAAAAAAAAAAAAACTAAAAGTTCCCCCAAATAACCAAAAACTTGAAAAATCTCTAGAAAGCTGAATTTGGCGAAGAACACATCAAAAGGCTTTGCGAGCATTTGGTCTAATTTAAAGGTGTACCTGCTCGACGAAAATCCTAGTTCTGCAACTGGTATCCAAACTTCAAAATTAAAGTATATTGTATGATTGATTAAAAATAAATATAATGCAACTTTAGAGTTCGAAAAGATTATAACTCAATAAAGTGAAATAACATTGCATTACGATATAAATAAACTAAGTGTGCGTACAATATGTATATCCAATTAAAAAATTGTGTACAACATTTTTATGCATAAAACTTGAAAATTTATTAATTACAAACTATGCGGCATGATGCACAAGTAATGAATACACCCCCAATATTTTATAAGTTGTCTTCCCATATTTTCACAGATTCAGTCGGTTCCCGCCTTTGACTTCTCCTGCAATGTAACCCGAAGTATCCAAATTCAAGTTTCTGGCTCACAGCTCCTTTCTCCCATTCAGGTTGTGGCGATTCTTCTGGACAACTTATAGATGCATTCTTTTATCAAGATCACTTTCAGGGTTAGAATTCAAAAACCTCTCCTATTCCTCTAACATTCTTCACCGATTTCAAAATTCGAAGGCATTTCAATTCGATATACGTCATTAGGGTTTATTACCAATATGATTTATGGAATTTCTGAATGCGGGATAGATTGTCATTTTTGCCATACAGATAGCTTACAAAGAAGGTGTGACAAAGAGGAAACATAATTTATGAAATTTGTATCCAGGTTAGGTTAATTTATTCATGCTTAGGTTTTTTCATGCTCCGATTCATGATTATCGAACTCGAATTATGTCAGGGGTAAGTTACATAGATGAAGTATGGTTCTCAATCTCGATGCCAAGATGAAGGACTGGAGTGCATCGAATGTAATAGCTTTTAGGTTTACAAAAGTGTTTAGTATAACAACTCACAAAATACATAATGCAATAAATGTGTAAATATAAAAAATTTAAGATATCATATATGTGTTGCGTGATTTACAATTTATAAAAATAATGTGAATTGTTTAGAATGTAATGTATTAATTTAATTAATTATTTCAAATCGAAAGAAATTTATTTWTTTAATATTTTGATAATTTTTTTGTTAATTTAAATATTATAAATATTATGTTTTTTTAATATATAATTATTATATTGTAGTAAATAAATAGAAATATAATAACTACAACCATTATTATATAAGAAAAGTCTAAAAAACCTAATAAACTTTAGTGTTTGGAACGACTAAGTACTTAAACAATTTTTAGAACAAATAAGTCTTTGAACATTCGAAAACTTGTTAAATAACTTCTTGGATGTTTTAAAATCTGTTAGATACATTTTTATGACCCATACAACTAACTAGTTAATGTGGTAAAATAATGAAAAGTCCGAAAAAAGCTAATGGACTTTCATATTTTGAACAATTAAGTCCCTAAACGTTTTTTAAACAAAAAAGATACTTGCATCTATAAAATGAAACAAATATACCAAAAATGTACTTACATTTACAAATAAGTACTTACATTTAAAATAGATTATTGATAAAATTTATTTTAATTAAAATAAAATATATATTACGTATGTGATTTTTCAAATTAAAAAGAAATTAAAAAAATTAATGATGAAATTTATTTTAATTAAAAATAAAATATAGTCCATTGGTGATTTTTCAAATTACAAAAATAGAAAATAATTTGATTAAATTACTACGGATTAACCGTAAAATTTAATTAAATACACAATTAATTAAATTTTGTCACTAATCTATCGGTGAAATAATATCACCGACAAGATTCAAACATGATCTTCCACACTTATGAGATGATATCACCGACAAAATTCAAGCATGATCTTTTACACTTATTAATATGTTACTG